AAGGACTTGTATCACTGAATTTTCTCGGAAAGAATTTCTACGGAAAATTAACAAATGAACACAGAGACGTAACAGTATTCATCATGCATTCTGCCAATGATACACAATGTTGCAAACTAAGCTAGATAATGCATAGGTAACCAAGTATTAGATGAAATTATTCTGGTAAGCAAAGGAACACAATACTGCAGATTCTTATATTTTTAAACTTTTTATTTTTTCAGTTTTTTATGTAGATTTCAAGAATTTTTCCAAAATTCCCAAATCTTTCTAGACTGAGAAATTTTAAAATGAAATTCCTGAATATTTCCCAATTTTAAAAATGAGTGGGAGCTCTCTTTAAACTTTGTGTAGACATAGTTGCTTCAGCCATTCAGATAAATAATATTACAAATCTTTTTACCCAAAGATGCCATGAATAATTAACTATTGTCTTAGTTTTACTAAAAATTCCACATGGACTTTTGGAATCTGGTAAGATTAACTTCTACTTAGAAAAATTTTAAAATTAGTTGAATGGACACTTACATAACTTCTTTAATTCAGCGTTAACCTCAGACGTTGGTAGTTGGCAACGTGAAACTTAGAATACCATGACAGATGGCAATTGACAACATGAAAGATGGGGGTTGGCTTTATGATTCTTAACAATAGAAGTTTAAGACACATGCCAAACTTATTACAAAAATGAAATGCCAAATTAAAAATTGTAAAACAAAGTAGAAGAAGTGAGGAGTCAAAGTTCTCATTTGTCATACAATCAAGAGAAGTAGCACAGAGCAATAGCAGAAATTTGGATGGTGGTAGAAATACAATGTGATCTTAGTCCATGAAGAATTTTATTCTTAGTCACAAAGTACAAAAATAATAAGTTATACAATTAGATCACTACTGTGTCTGCCATATTCAAGCCAAGCTGTATTGAGTGAAAGGCTTCATCAGCACTGGATATGGCAGATATAGTGTGGTTGAAATGTTACATATTCTTTGCATTCACTCATAAGTTCTTAAAAGTATTTATCTATTATTTTTGCTTTAGAAAATAAAAACCTATTTAAACATTTAAAACATTCACATTATGAGATTTTAAATGCTGTAATTATAAACTGTTTCTTAACTGAATGGGATATGATGATAAACCTGGCCATAATGGGACATGAGAAATGTTTGAAATTACCATAACCTTAGATTCTGAATTTCAATAATTTGATTGTAATTGACAATTTTCACACAAATATCATTTTTCTGCTATAAAATACTAAAGCTAGAATAATGTCTCATGTTTTTCTCGATTTTTGATAATTTCCATAATTCAGTTGTGTTAAAGTGTTTCAAAAGAATAAGTGAGAAATATCTGGCCACAGTGGAACTAGGAAAAAAACAAACCATCTGAACGATTCTCTTGATCTAGAATAAAATATGAATGATATATCAGGCAAAAAACATGTTAAAGGTCCCTCCAGAAAGAATAAGCAAACAAAACAAAAACAAATGCCTTTAAATAACCATCAAAAGTTGAGAAAGAACACATACATAATCATAAGACAAACACCAACTCTACAACATTGTCTTGTTGATAACAAATCAAATGACAAACAAAAAAAAATAAAAACTTCAGAACAGTCAATATAGAAAGAGGGTAAAGATAAATAGTAGATAACTTTTTGTTCAACAAGCTTTGTTATATTTACATAAATTATCTGAATTTGGATGTACTGATTTTGGGTGAAAAAACAACAATATATATATTTTTAAATATTCACCAGTTTATACACACTTGCATTCAGATTCTGCAACTTGGACACGTCTGATTAAATCATCTACATAGTGAAACATTTCTTCTTTAGCCAAAGCCTCCTTTTTTCCAACTTCATCCAAGTAGTCCTCTACAGTTTTAAGCTTTCTAATCATAAGCAAGAAACAACTACAAATCACAAGAAGCTAGGAAAAAACTCAAATGATTCCAAAATAAAGCTTTATCTTTAGTAAAATGTAATATATACAGAATGAAAGAAAGTTATTATTTTCCTATACTGAAGATATATTTCCAATAGCTTATTACCTTCTCTCACATGTATAACATTTTTACACATGCCACAAGCCTTGAACTCCTACGTACCCCAAAATCAACATGGTTCAACTCCATCTTGCATGTAAATCATCATGCACCAATCCTTCACCAACAAGAGTGCAACACACCCTCTTGACGCGTGTGACTCCCTCTATTTGATTCTACCAAATTATCACTTTGAGATTAGGCAGAAAAGGAAACACCAATTTAAAGTTGGGAGGAAGGGTGGGAAGTATGAGTAGAGGTAAGTATCGTTTAGAAATATATTTTCAGTATAGCAAAATAATAACTTCCGATATGGTACATTACCTCTTCTCACATGTGCAACCACAATCCCACATTGAATAGGCAGAGGACTGGTGTGAGGGATAGAAAGAAGTATCCTTCAAAAGCATCTGAAGAATACCACTGAAGTGTGATCTGCACTGGGAGAGGAACACACATGGGAGACCACACCACTTCTGTACCAGGTATAGTCTGCACCCAGTGTGGAAAGAGGTGTCACATACCCAGGCAGGAAATGGGAGGAGCACAACCAAAAAGGGGAGAAAACCGAGTGGTTTGGAATCCATACCACAGTATACTGGAATCTCAATCCTGCATAAGAAAGACCATCTACAGAGAGAAATGTGGGATAAACTAAAAATGGATGTCTCCAAGGTGTAGATTGGCTATGGTGCAATGGATCATATACAGCTGGTCAGCTTCAGTCCAAAATCAAGCAATATTGGGAATAGAATCTCCAACCCATGGTAGGAGGAGGATCCAGACCGTCTTCACCTCAAGCTAAATAGAAGTATATATTGTGTAAACCAATCTATGAAACGGGCACATGTGTACAAATCCACAACTAACCATACATCCAGTAACCTGACATATGAATGATGGTAGGAGATGTGTTAATATTGCAGGTTACATCAAATTCAAGTTGAATCAGACTGACACCCTCTGTGGTGAAGCACGAAAGGGAGAACCATCACCCCAATCACTATCATCCTCCAGGTAGGACTGTACAGAAGGTAAACCACAATGCCACCTTACAGGTCCCAAGGCATGGAAGTGGACTGCCTCTAGAAATAAATAAAAACTGCACCCTCTGGACAAAACTGCACAGAAGATGGGTACAACATCAACCTCCAGGTCCCACCATGCTGAGGTGGAGATCATTAGGGTAATTGAGAAAGGAAGAGGAAACGCAACCAACGTGTGAGAATTTATGTTGATTGGTCCAAATTAAAAATTTGATTATGATCCCTCATCCTACCATCACTTGGATGTCAATTCCCATTGAGTGGGGCGTGAACTACAATGTGACAGATGTATTCTCAAGCAACATTATCCCCAGATAGGACCACACAGAAGATGGAGCACAATGCCACCCTCCAGGTCTCACTGCATGGAAGTGAATCACACTTAGAAATTATAAGCAACCTTATCCTCTGGATAGAACCACACAGAAGCTGGATGTAACATCAGCCTCCGGTACCCACTGTATGGAAGTGGAGTGCATGAATGGAGGATTAAATACCATCTACACCAACAGAACACCACCACCACTCTACTCTCAATTGAATGAAAGCAATTACATTCAAGAGGACTCCTCCATGGTCCACCACCCCAGCAACTTGAAACTGGAATGTGGCATGAACTCCCATACTCAACTAAAAAAACAAGGAGACAAAATGCAGTGGAAAGTCCAAAGGAATGCTGACACTACAATGAGTGGTCATGAAAACCCCCTATTTTGAAAATCAAACAACCCTTGATTTATTCAATCCAAGGGATGGCAGGAATTGGCAGTTATCCTCTTCTGTTTTACCCATGTAAGTCCACAGGTGAGTACAGTCCAGAACGGACATATTATGAAGCAAAGGAGAGCAGTAAGGGTAAGACCAAGGCAGGAAAACTGTATGTGGGATAAACATATAGGATTTTCAGGGTCAGTCCCCTATATAGGCAAAAGTGACTCCAACTGTTGGGAGTCGAAAAAAGGTTGATCAGTCTGATGATAAGGCGATGTCCTTGAAGGGGAAAGCATGTTAGCACCTACTTTCAATTGAGAAATGAAATGCTTAGCATGAGCCCTGGTGTCGGAAGAAGGAGAGGAAACAAAACACTCTGAGGAAGAGATGTCATGTAATAAGGAAGGAACAGGATCATAAGAAATTGGGGAAATGGATAAAACAGAACACACCTGAGAAATCATATCTAAAAAAACTAATTTATGCCTAGCAGATTCTGCAGGAGAGGCTTTGGAAGGCATGGCATATTGGGTGGAGGAAAAAGGCTGTCAAAATCCTCCTCGTTATGAACAGGTTTGATGAAGACAAGTAATATCAGGAGAAGGTCGACTCATATAATGATTAATCTCCAAGCAAATTATAACCAAAAATTCCTCAGTGGAGGTCCCCTGACCTGAAGCTTGTGTAAGTGTACTGGATGTAGGTGGAAGAAAATCCCAAATGGTGACATGAAGTTCAGAATTCATCATAAATGGTGAAGAATTTAAAATATAAGAAAAAGTAAAGGTAAGTTATCGTATCAAAAGTACAGAAAACAAACTACAGCAAAATAATTAAATGAAATCACTATTGAAAAGAGCACAATTGAAAAATGTATGCACTAGTTCACTGCCCAACAAGAACTGATAATTTGGTAGAATCAAATAGAGGGAGTCACATGCATCTAGTGAGTGTGTCACACTCCTACTGATAGTTTGTTTGTTTTTTGAATTTCGCGCACAGCTACACGAGGGCTATCTGCGCTAGCCGTCCCTAATTTAGCAGTGTAAGACTAGAGGGAAGGCAGCTAGTCATCACCACCCACCGCCAACTCTTGGGCTACTCTTTTACCAACGAATAGTGGGATTGACCGTCACATTATAATGCCCCCACTGCTGAAAGGGCGAGCATGTTTGGTGTGACAAGGATCGAACCCGCAACCCTCAGATTGCAAGTCGAGCGCCTTATCCACCTGGCCATGCTGGGCCACCCTACTGATAGTTTTCACATGATGATTTATGTTGATCATGGGCTATGTGGGGTTTACATATAGAGGGCAGCACTGAATGTGAGTGGAGGTAATGTACCGTATCAGAAACCTTCTGATTTAAGAATTACAAAATTAATTATTTTAGGAAATCTTTTGACTTTATACTTTGTTAATCTTGAGAAAAGAATCAAATTCAATAAAAAAAAGTTTGATATCATATATGTAGCTAGCCTTAAATAGTAAAAAAAAAGTATTTTAAATTTAATTTTCAAGAAATAATTAAATCGTTATAAACTTTTATTGCTCCTATTGTATCAAAATGATTCTCTTTTTATATTTCAATCATACAGTTTTATAAGCAAACAAACAGATTTTGCACTTGGTTGATGCATGTACATATAAAATTTTTAAATCTGATATTCTTTATTTTAAAAATAACTATGAATTAATGGTCACATGCATTTCAATTTATTCAGGTTTCATAAAGACTTTACAAAAATAACTGCAAGGCTTTTATTTTTTCTTCAGGATCCATACTCAAGAATTGTAAAATCCTATCACATGGGATTAACTTTACTTTTTCTTGGCATTTTTGTTCAGTAAACATTCCCTTGAGCAGAAGCTGCAAGAGTGTTGGATTTTATACACAAAGCTGATTCCAATAATCAATAATTTTATTTGTTCATTTAATTCTTTCTAATTAAACTGATTACTTTGTGGAAGACTTTTGTTAATTGAAAATTAAATTTCATGATTTTTTCAAGATCGTTACTGACATTTTGCAAGGATTTTCTAATATTGAAATTTTCACAGCTCATTATCAATGATTTTCCAGGAACCCAAATTCTTGTTGTCATTTTTCAAGCTGACAGTGGTTTATACCTGTATGTACCTAATACTTAACAATTTTAGAAGAATTTCTATCACTGATAAATTAAAGTTCCATGTTGGTTTCACTTTCTTGATTGTTAGTCTCTTTTCTTCTTACAGCTTGCATTTTGTTGGAACGACATAAAACAAAGTAAAGTTTATTTCTATGAAATATCTTAACTTTCCTGTGACTTTTAACTGTTTGTTTGTTTGTTTGTAATTAAGCACAAAGCTACACAATGAGCTATCTGTGTTCTGCCCACCACGGGTATCGAAACCCGGATTCTAGCACTGTAAGTCTGAATACATACCTCTGTGTCACTGGGGGGCGACTTTTAACTGAAGATGGCTCCAGTTAGCACTGAAAGCTTGTGATTATGAATTATGTAAGAGGATATCTTGTTGTGTTAAATGTAATTGAAGGGAAGGTTTTATAACTTTATTTAATGATTGTATATTGCCCTTAAAAATAATGATGTTAAAATGTTCTAAGCAAAACAATTGATTTAATTATTAAAATATTTAAACAACGTCCTTGCATTTTTGCAGTTGCAGAAAAAAAACAACTCAAATTTCTTTTTTTTTAGGTTACAGATATTAATAGTTCTGAAAGTCATTTAGAAATAAGAACATATCATAAACCAGTGTATACAGAATTGGAGTGTAATTTTGAAAAATTTTATACCTGTTAAATATATGGATAATTTGATAAATATTTTATAGAACTTATGATATTGCGGTAACTATCATTATTTTCATATTTCATTACTTGAAAACATTTTTTTTTTGTATGGAGTGTACACTCTTTGTAGAGTGAGTTATATACCCAAACTATCATTCTATGTCAGTATTCCACTTATATGTAAAGACAGTTGTGTTGAGAAACAAGATAAAAAATATTTTGAAATCATATATCCACAAATTTAAGTATGTATTGCCTTAAAATCAGTACTAAGAATTAAGAGCTTCTTCAGAGAAAAGGACAGAATTAATAAACTTCAACATTCCTAATGTTGTTTATAGATACATTTGTTACTGATGTGGATGAAATTATGCAGGGTCAGCCACAACATTTAGAAACAGTGTATAAAATAGTCTAGTGATAGTGATTCTTCAAATACCTAGATCATGAATATGAACTTTGTTATAACATTTAGTTCAGCAATAAACAAGATGTAATACCAAATAAGACTAGAAATCAAGAAACATAAACAATCTCTATCAAAACAAACCATGTTTTAACAATACATTGTTTTAACTTAAAAAGTCAGTGAAATTCTTGGAATTTATTATAAAAATAAAATAAAAAAAGAAATGATTAAAAGCAATGTAAAATAATGTATGAGGACAATGCTTCCACCAAACAAACTAAATCTTGATGATAATTGTCAGGTTAAAATGTTGATCACAATTTTTATTTTATTTTTCTCTTACAGCCATATAAACTATTCCTTTGTGTTTTCAGATGTTATATTGTTATAACTGCAATTGTTTGACAACATAAGCATTATCGTATTTTATAAAATAATACATTGTAATACCCAAAATATTACATACAATACAATGTCATAGTTCTAACTAGATTCAAAACAGTGTAACTATAGAATTGGGTAAGTGCTTAACAAGTTTGCTTTACCTCATTTTTTGTATATTGACTTAATGTTTTAAAGCTGTAGCAGTTCAAAACAAAGAAATAATGCATAACAATATCAAAGTTTGCTTAGTTTTGATATTCATATGAACTTAAATGTGTATTTTAAACCAATAAGGTAATACAAATACAATATATAATTCAGATGTTAAGTTTGTGCTTAAACACCTTGGGAAGATATGAAATACACTGGTTGTTGCTAAGCTGCTTCTCATCATTTACTCTCCAAAGTATAAACTTGGAAAATGCATATTTACTTTAAAGAAAGAATGAATCATTGTTGTTTGTTTTTCTTTCATGTGGAACTCCTTCAACCTGTTTAACACCTTCACTGCATCATTTCTTTTGTGTAACAGTTTCTTTGTAATGTGGTTATAATGTATTTTGCTTATGATTTGTTAGTAGAATCCTTTATTTTGTGATGTCATACTTGTTCATCTTTTATTAGCACTCAAAAATGTCTTTTATATGATTTTTAGGCCTACCGCTGTCAGTTACATAACTTATTCATATTAATATATGTACACTCTACAGGCATTTAGCATTCAAAACTTATTTGCGATAAATCTTGAGGCTCCAACATTCACTGCTTTGATTCTTCTGGGATGACAGGCAAAGGAAACTCTGCTACAAGATTTTGTTTTTTCATGCTTATCATTGGTAAGCAATGATACACAACTACAAAAGTAAATCAGTTAATGTCAGAGAAGCCCCAAGATCTATCCTAAAATGTTTGTGAAAGCACGTTATCCTGCTGACGATATGCAGTAGTCACAAGAATGTTGTCATGTGATCTATACAACATATAACCACTAGTAAACTTGGAGATTCCCCTGGGATGTATTATATGCATAGCCATAGTAACTACATCCCTGTTAGAAATATATGGAAAGCAGCTTAGTATACAGTCCAAATTCTACAACATAAAATACAAACAGATGTCATATCAAAGGTCCTATGTCATAATGCAGTAAAATTGATAAATGGATTCAGTGAGCTCAAAGCTGAGGAAAATAATCTCCTTTGAAGCGTAATGGGAAAAGTCGAGTCTCTCTCACAATTTCATGCATTTTTGGGCCAGTTGCTATTACATAGGTGAGAATCAAATAAATTGTTTCAGAAGGTTTGAATCTACAAATGCCATGGGAGTTTGGAATTTTGTATCACCAAGAAAAAAATTGTATTCCCTTTCAAACTTCTCAAAGTTTTTACTACTTTCAAGTTTCAAATAAATAATAAAACATTAAAACAGACATCTTTTGTTTTATTATTGTGTGTCTAAAAAACTTGTCACAACCAGAGTTATTTAACTATACTAATGGCAGTGAAAGAGTTAACAGTTCAAATTAAAGCTGAAAGCACAGTCTCTAAGTATATGAAGTGGCCCATGGCAACCCTTCCTGCAGTAAAGATAATTATCATATATTTCTTGCAATTTGACAAATGTGAATATTTACATCATCAAGTGTTGGTTAAGTGTTAAACTGATTCAGTGATCATACAAATACTGTGAACCATGAACAAAAGGGTTTTTGTGTTACTTGTAGCTTTATATTTCTTTATTGGAAGTTGCATTGGTCTACCTTGTATATATTTAATATTGACATGATGGTTTACTTTCTATATTTTAAATTTGAAAGTATAACTGCACTTTATGTAAAGTAAAGCACTTTCTATAAAAAAATTTATAAAAAAGTACTAAAATTAAATATGATTAGGGTTTTCATGTCACTGAATCTGCTAATGTAATCCATAATACATTTCAAAATGATGTACCACAGATTAGTTAAGTCAGAATTCATTAGCTGAAATTGTTAGTTTGATGCTCTGCTCTAGAATGTGACATGATATAAATGGGTCCAAAGGGTTAAGTAATGTTTTATTACAAGCCTAGTACCTGCTTTGTTCTTCAATTAAATAACTCTTCTTTTGCAAATCTTTCTGGTGCCTCTCAATCTGTTGTTTTAACATTTGGTTTTCTTTCCTCAAGTCTTCAAGGTCTTTTGATAAATTCTGCTTATCTAAGATTTGTTGTTGAATAACATTCTGCATCTAGAACAACAAGAAACTCTAGTTATCAACTTCTGTCATAAGTTATTAACTTTAAAATTTGATATCATCTTGTATTTTAATCTTAATACATTTTTATAAGTTCATAAAATTTTAAAGGGACAAAAAGGAGCTTATTAGCCCATCAAGGATGTCCCTTCCAGCTCCCAACTATAACCACCATTTACTACTCATGTAATCATCCAATCTTTTCTTGAACTTAAATTTTCTGCCTCCACCACCCTTGAAGATAACTCATTCCAAAAGCCAACCACCCTGTTTCAAAAGTAATACTGTCTAAACTGCAGACAACTCCTAAGCTGCCAAAATTTGAATTTATGCCCCTTGTTCTATTGTTTTTGCTGCTTAACACAAAAAAGTTTGATGGATCTATATTATGAATACCCTTAATAATCTTAAACACCTCAATCAAATTCCCTCTGACTCTTCTCCTCTGCAGAGAAAACAAGTTTAGATATTTTAATCTCTCCTTATAGGACAATCTCACCATCCCAGGTATCATCCTAGTGGCTCTTCTTTGAATTTTCTCAAACAATTCAATGTCCTTCTTGAGGTAGGGAGCCTAAAACTGTACACGGTACTCTAAATGAGGCCTTACGAGTGATATATACAGTGAAACAATAATATCCCTTGTCTTGTATTCAATATTTCTATAGATGCTACCCTAAATCCTATTAGCCCTTATTTCTAATACTCCTAGCATTACAATAGTAACAACTAATCATATATTTTAAAAGATGTTCATGTTTTATGCCTGTTGTAGATGTTTTCCTGTCAATTATATTTCCTATTTTACTAATATCATAGCCCTCACCTCTGTCTAACCCTAGTTTAAATCTACCACTACAGCCAAGTTAATAGCTATTGCTAACATGCTAGCCCCTGCCTTATTTAAATGTAAGCCATCCATTCCAAAAAAGATTAACTTTCCCATTAAAAATATCCCACAATTCCAACCAGCCTATTTTCTCCTCCCTACATATTACTCTAAACCTGGCATTCACCTTTCAACATTAGCTTTTCTTTTATGCAAAAGTGGAGACACTGTATAAATGCTGCATGATTTCTTTTCTAAACAAAACAACTGTTACTGATACCTATCCTTTAAAATAAGGTGTACCCACACAATCAGATGTTGACATACAAATTTAAGTTTGAAATATTTTGTGCCTATAACCATACAAAAAAAAAGTACATTTATCTTAAACAATGGACCTCGCACGAGTCTAAAATAAATAGTCTTGATCTTTAATAAACTTGTGATTTACTGATGATGTGCCACAATTGAGAATAAACATTCATCAGGTTGTTAGGTTTATAGAGCACATCAACTATATCACTGACATTAAGATGCTAATGAAGATATAAGGTTTTAATTCAAATCTGAATCATGATGTGACCCAACATGTTAGCATTCCAATGGTATAATCAAGGTTTAACTACACTTCACCCAACATGTTAGCATTTCAATGGTATAATCAAGGTTTAACTACACTTCAAGTTCAGAATGTAACATGAGGAATGTTAGAATTGTTTTTCAGACTCACAGTCTTGCCACTACAAGATACTGGGATTGCTACTCAGTATAAACACATCTTTGATATACCTCCTAGTTACCAAATTTCCCTTCTAACTGAGGATGTAGAATTCTCTATCAGTGACTATTCCCATTTCTACAACAAGCTAACAAATCACATACATTTAGGTTGTCTAACTTGCAGCCCAGAGGTAGTTTTAACTAGCTTGCTAACCATTACATAAAAAATAAATGAAGCTAAGAATACAGCTTATTTTTGGCACCTTCAACTTTGATACTTAGTTGGGTATGTTTGTTACCTATTATTGTATTACTGTGGCAATCAATATTAATAAACTAGAATAATCCACAAAACATTTGTCAGGATGACTAATGATTGACACCTGTTCAATTTTGTACTGTAGGTAGGTCTACTCGTAAACCCTGACATACATGTAATTCCAAAATAATTTATACTAAAGATATCCAATATTTCTATAGTGACAACGAAGTTATATACACTGTTTGACATTTTACACACAATACCAAGGTCCTAGAGTTGAACAATTACAAACAGTGAAATATAGTCTTGTTTTACATTCTGCATTGTTTTGATCTTTACCACTGTCTTATGCAAACAAATATAAGTTTGAATGATGAAGGGTATTTAGTCACAAAGTTACATGCACTGAAGCAGAAGTTTTTTCTGTGTGCATTGCTTCATTTGACAATTTATTACTAAGGTCCTGTCATATGATCACAAAAAAAAACACTGTCTTATCTAACTAATGCATGACTCTGGATGAATTGGTTTCAAACTATCATATTTTACTACATACAAATGAAACAATTGGGAATTTTATAGGCTTTCTCATTATGTAACTACTGTTGAAATATGTAACTTGTAATGGAGAGAAAAACCTCGTTTTACCACTGTTTGTTTCAGCATAAAGTTACACAATGGACTATCTTTGCTCTATTTGGCATACGTAATCAAACCTTACATTTTAAAGTTGGAAGTCCACAAGTTATTACTGAGCCACAAGGGGATTGATTTTATTTTCAAATAATTTTTCCAGTATCTTTTCCACTTCACCACAACACTCAAAGTGAGACTAACACTGAGGGTTCAACATATTTTTATCTTGCATCTGGTTATTGAAATTGAGAAATGTAAATCTTCACCTGCACAACTTTACTAATTATTGAGAATTAGTTGAGAAGCAACACATTTTTTGATATAATACACACCTTTTTCTTTATTCTTGTATCAGGGTTCCAAGTAAATAAACAGAAGGTAAACTATATTTACTTACTATGACCTAATGTCTGACCAATCACAGTAACTATTTAAAATGTGTTTTTCCAGCATCCAGAATGCAGTGCACCATCAATGTGACAACAACATGCATCTCAATTGGTTTGCTGGCCACTTCTTGTATAAGTGCATTTTTGAGGTCTGAAACTGTGCAAGTTATTCCACATTACATGCTTGACTTCAGGTAGCCTGTCAACCAGAAATTTGCTGGTGTTAGTTCCAGTGAAAGTCATGTCAAATGATTCTGTTGTGAAAGTGCTCCCACAAGATGTGTTTCATCTGGTTACCAATAAGTAAAAGGGCACCATCCGGTATATAATGAAAGACAGAGAGAGAAGGGGGGGGGGGGGCTTCTCTTTTGGGTTTGACAGATCTATTGATATCTCAGGATATAAACAAAGTAGGAGGTTCAAATTTTATATCCTTACTTTTAAGTATGTATAGGTTGTGCTTTTAATTGGTTAGTAACTGTAAAAGCTTATTATTAAATTTGGAAAATTCCCATATTGAGAATTTGGAGCTCATGCATGTCATGTTACATACAAAAATGAAATTTAACAATTTCAGGCTGCCCAGCACTTTTTGGTGCCAAAAATATAGGAATATAGGAGGTTTTGGCATGTCAAATACTGCAATTGGGAAAGTTAGGTAAATAATCCATGGTTTGTGTGCATATTCTGGGCATATATACGTACAAATAACAAAAGCAACAGTATGTTTAACATAAATAAAACAAAATGGCTTCTAACACCCTTTACAGCCATCACATCCTAGCTTTTTATTACAAAATCAGATGGGTCTAAACAATTTTACAGTATAAAAATGATTTGCACATTTATAATTTGATGAAACATAAATTTTCAACCTTTTTTCTCCAAGTTCAACAGTAGATGCATTTGGTTTAACAGTAAACATAACTTCTGTCTGCTTATTATTAATTATGCTTTTATGGTCTTTAGTATTTGTGTGCTGAAGTTATGAGGCCTTTCCAGCATTATCCACACTCAACTGGCAGCAGCAGAGGCTAATGTATGCTGTATAATGGTTGTTGCTGGGCTTTTACCAATCACCAATTTTGCTTTTGTTGGCATCCAATGCTTCCAACCACTGGATTTCGAAAGTAGTCTTCCTACTTGCCATTTTGGTCTACTGATCTACTACAATTTATGAAACAAATAGAATTCACTATACATTCTGAAAATGAAAAGCAAGATTAATATTCACACATATATATCATACTGAATATTCTTTCAGTCTGGAATATGTTCCACAAAGAAAACAATTCTATACCCACTTCATTATATTTGATTTGATAAATATGTTGCTGAAACAGTTAATGAGTTAAATAAATTTACTCATCACTGTAGAAAATCAGTTTGTTAAATACATGTAGTGGCTGTAGAAATAACTTCTAATTTGTGAATAATGTAATGATTACTCATGCATCTCTGGTATCTACATCTTGCTTATAACTAATATATCAGACAATTTGATATAAAATATTTTCATGTATTAGCATATACATATGCATATTCTGCTTTTGAGAGGCTCTTTTAATTAAAACAGAGCAAGACCTGCAATCTTGTTAAGAGTCTACTTTTGCAAAAAAAAAAGAATGAAAAAATCAACATCAGTGAATTAACCACATTAATGTTTAGTTCTGAAGAAGAAGAATATCAATGTTCAGTTCTGAAGAATAAATAAAATGAGCCACTTCCTAAAATGAAATATTATTGTAAAATTCTGAATTAACTTTGAACTTTCTTGGGAGGGTTAACCAGGTACTCATGCAAAAAGACAGGTGAAAGTTTACATTTGGCCTGCTGCACAGCTCTTGATTGAGCACTGATAATGAGGAGTTTTCACTTATTTTAATCAGTAAAGAATCTTAAATTTCTCAGGTTTTGGGTCAACAAATTGTCCCCACATCTCAGACATCATAGTATCAAACTTCATCATTCTAACACTGTCAAAAAAAGTATTTTTGTTGCATATTTTTGAACATATTAGAGATGAATTTTGATTGAACAAAGAAAAGATATGGTCAGCTTTCAGAAGCCATAAATGGGCTAACTGGCATTCGCACTGGTACTAATGTCAGCTTCTGGCCAAGAATAAACATTCTAATTAAGATTAAATTAAAGTTAA